CATGCAGATTTGTTCTGCTTCAGAGACTAAAGAATAAGATATACACAGAACTGAATATGCAGGCAGGGCCTATGAAGGGTTGCCTCATTTATTGCTTACGAATGGTAATATTTAATGGAGGGAATAAAACCCAGCTGTGCCATGTAATGAAGTCTTTCAAGACTAAGACAGACAAATCAGGCCTGTGTTGAGTGGCTTCACAGCTAACTCCCAGGGCTCTGTAGTGGTAACACAAGCCATCATTAGAAAATGCACTATGCTCCTTTTTCAGTGATCAGCAGGATTTGAAGTTTTCTTTGTTCATTTGTCTTTTGGAGAGGATGTATTGAATAGTATGGTACATTAATACAGAGGTTTAATATTAAACCTGCAGCCTTCAAGTAGAAGTTCTCCTGAGTACCAACACAGAAGTCAGAAGTCCAATTTCAGATAGCAATGCTGTAATGACTACATTTATATTGCATTGTCAGAAAAGAATAAAAGTGAGAATAGGAATGAGAAATTTCTTTGTCATTTGTACAAAAATAGACCAGAGTACAAGATATAACTGAATGAGGCTGAATTTTCAGTGGCCTTCTGAGACATATAACCAGGTGTCATCACCTGCAGGCCTCCTCCTTAGAGTGCCAAGAATTCCCCATCATTCCAGATAAAGGAATAAATGGGCTATGGTGGTGGTGGGAGGCACAGTTCCTGTGCACAGTTGGGGGTGTGTCTATCTGGCCTTTATTTTGTGAGCCTGGTCAGCGTGCTTTCAAAAGCACAGCACCTGAAACACACACGCAAGGAAAACAGGCAATTGCATCTGCCCTGGGCTGTCCCCACCCCAAAGTCTCTTTAGCAAATCATTGTTACCTTAGTTTCTGAAGAGCTGAAGCCACAAAAAGCTGACAAACCATCAACAAACCAGTGTCTCATGGTAATTGCTAACAGAGTGCTTCAATAACAATTTTGCATTTGAGGAAGGTCTTCCTGAGGGACTGAGCTTAGAAAAGCATTTAAGAACACAAAAAACTAACCAGATTTCCTTTCACATTTTCTTGGGTTAATTATTACTGAGTTTCCCCACTAATCCCCAAAATCCCTATAGAAGCCATTTTTAAGGAAGGAAAAAAGTAAATTTAAAAGTCTAAAGATGATCTTTGAATTAAACATGTAGCATTCTAGTGAAGAACGTACCATCAGTGCAGCTAGGAGGGTCATTATGCCTTTGTCTAATGCTAAAACGAATAACCCAAATAGTTTAAGACAAGCTTTCCCCGCCCCCCTTCCCTCAATGTGCACAAAAAATCCTCTTGTGCCTCCCCCAGATTACTGGAAAACCATAACTTGTTGATTTTTATGTTGCTATTCTCTCTCAAACTGGTTGGTCTTCCCAGAGGAGAAGGTGGAGCCAGTTACCTCCTTGGTACTGGTGTCACCTGGGCTTCTGTTGCTACTCGATGTTTCCTCCCTCTGCCCCAAGCACAGCAAGCTGGTGGAAGCAGGGTTGGGGTGATAGCACTTGGGGGCCAAGTTATTTTACCCTATACAGAAACCTTCCACATTTCTTGAGCCCACACCACAAAGCTGTTTCCTTTAGTTAGATCCTTCCTCCTTCATGGACTTTGGACACAGCACTTGGTTTCTGCAGGTAGAGAAGAGCCTGGCCTGGGGGCTCTCCTTCGCTGCCCATCAGTGTCCTCCTCAAACTGAGAGCTAGACCTTTTCTGCTTGTGTAGACAGCCGAAGAGAAAAAACAGGAACAGAAAATAGGTTTGAGGAAAGTCAAAAGATCCCCAAGATAATGAGACAAAAAGCAGCAGCAGCAAAAAAAAAAAAAAAAAAATCTTCCTGTTAATAGCAGAAATCAGTTAGAGGTTAAAGGTGGGTTGATCTTTAATTGCCATCCTGAGAATTGCCATTCATAGGTCACAAGCTGTGAAGTGCTGCAATAACAAACAGTTGCTGCCATCTGCTGAACACAGAAATTATATACTACACAGTTCTACGGTCTGGCTAGTGATAAAGTGTGAAATCATTTGTTTTGCTGGATTTGTTAAAATCTCTCTCACCAGAGCAAACATTTATCTCTGGAAGATGTTCAGGGGAGTTTCCATTTTCTTCTCTTAAATATTACAGCTGTGTAAGTATGCGATTCTACTTTAGAGAATATCTGTTCCCCTCTGGAGGAATCCTGAACAACTCTGAAGAACCATTCCTAACCAGTGGAGGAACAGTGAAACATGCGTTTTCTAAAGAGGATAGAGAGCAGTTATGAAATACATTGCTATTAAGAAAGAGTTACCAGTTAGCTTACAGCCTTTAAAAGTGCTTGTTACATTTTCTTTAGTAACGGTGCCTGAGAACTTCACCTCCTCTCACATCCTCTTACTAGGATGGACAGCTGCCCTTGCATGGCCACTGTGGTTTAGATGTAGGAGCTTCCAGTGCAAAGCTGCTGGCAGTGGCACTAAAGGATGGAGATACTAAAGGATGACCAAAGTGAAGCAGGTGGCTCAGGAAGTTCTATCCAGCAAAAGCTGCAGCTGAGCCAGTGCTTTGTTTCATGCAGGAACTGAAGCATGTCCCTACATGTCCCCAAAGCTGTCACACTGGGTGCAGAGCAAAAAGAGCCTCGGGTCTTTTTGGTAGATAGGTAGGGGATAGGTAGATGGAGACATTCAAACATATTCACGCAAACAGGAAAAAGCAGTACTTGCTTTTTCTATTTTAAAGTTAACACAAAAAATAGCAAAGTCAGTAAGTGTAAGAAATATAATACTATCACCTGGTTACAATATATATAAAACATGTAAGTATATATTGCTTACCTACACAGCATATATGAGCACTTGTGGCTGAATTCAGCCCTGCTGGAAAATGAGACCCTGGTTTGCATTAGTTTAAATAGAGGTGGACACACTTGCTTCAAAGCTGCTGCTAGCTTGCTAATGGTCACCCGAATCGTGGCTCTTGGGGAGGATGCTCATGGGCACAGCAGCCTGCTGCTCTCCTCGGGCACTTCCTTCCGTTCGTCAGACACTCAGACACGCACAGCTCAACAGCACCTGAAGAACATGGTTTTGCACCTAAAAAGATGCAAGATCATTGCTACAGTAACTTCTGCCTAGCATGGGTTCAGAGGGATAAATTAAAATAGCAGGTCTGGCTTATTGCTTAATCTGCATTAGAGTAAATCAGCATTGAGGGTCCTGATTTTAATGTGAAACCAGTTGAAAATAGCAAGCAGGATCTGCTGGCATGCGCATTCTGCAAATCTATAAATTTCCACAGGAGGGAGCTTCTTGCCCACGAAGCTCAGGGAATGCAGCGGGTGCTTTCTCCCAAGAAAGGTGCCAGTGTTTCCCTGCTGAGTTCACAACTGCTGCAGATTCTAGCCTGATTGTGCAGCTAAAAACTACAGCAAGAATTAGTAGTGAAATGGTTAACAGATAATGATGATTGTCAGAGCTTATTAAGCATAATCATTTTTGAGTCATATATGTAAATCTATATAAATACACAAGTGTGGTGTAAAATCTAAAGCATACAGTTTAAACCTATAAGCACTCCTGAGTTAATTTCGCTATGGGAATATAAGTTGCAACTTCCTGGCTTCACTGTGTTTGAATTCATATCCATGAACATTAATTTAGAATTAGTCTAAATATTTGTTAAGAATTAATCATCTGATAAATTTAGCTCTTTCATTTTTATGAATTATTCATCATCTCCTTTCCTTTCCGTTGATGTGCAAGTTATTTACAAGAAATCAATTACTAGTTCATGCTAAAATAAAATCCAGCAATCCAGGTGAGCTGTAAAATGCTCCCCTAGGAATCTGTATGGCAAACGTTTTTTTTTTTGTCTATTTATCATCAACATTTTATACTACTGTTTTTCTTCCTGAAGGACTGTACAGAGTTTTTAAAGAATATAAGGCATAAGAAAGTTCATACAGCAAATATTTTGCAAAGCTGTTCTCTATACTTACTTGTATAAGCATTTTGGCATGAAAGTTTGGGAACAGTTAAGTATTACCAAGTGTGACTGCTGGAGCAAAGAGCTATCTAAAAGAACCAAGCCAGGGGCTATTGTGAGTGCTCTTGGCAGTACCTGCATGGCTCTGACCTATAGGCACAGCTCTGTGTTTCGGTTCTGCTATCTCAAGCACAAAATCTTCATCTCCACAGCCCCATCGTGAGAAGAAAAAAAAAAAAAGTTTCCCAAAAGAGGAGAATGATTCTGTGTCTAAAAGCAGTTTGCTCCAGGTTGGCCTCAGGCAAGGCTGAAAGAAAAGTTAATAATCTCGAGATATTATGACGATGAAAAGAAAGCATTTTGTGTCTCTTCCCAGGGGATGGGACCAAGCATTCCCAGCACAGTACACTGCAACAGAGATTCCTGTGTAACCTGTATATAGGCCTATTTGCCTGCCTTTAACATAAGCAGTGCGAGTCCACATTTTCTGAATACAACTTAGTTCAAGTCTAGCACTGCAAGCCTTATTTTTAACAGTCTCATTGAATAAGCCTTTGCCATAAAATTAAATTACTAGTGAATCTCTCTTCCCCTCTTACAACTCCCTAAATAGATACCATATTTAACTTCCCATTGGGTGATGTCTTTATATTTGTTACTATCAAATTCAGTTTGTTACTATTAATTAACAAATCAGAAAATGACTTCTAAAATTATGAAAACGCCAAAGCAAAACTCCCAGAACACACCCTCAACGTGGTTAATAACTGCTACCAGGACTTGCAGAACATCAAAGGGCTCTCTAAACAGACTTTCATCAGAGATGCTGCAAGCCTTAGTCTAATCTTTCATGATTTCCCATGCAGAAACATCAAAAGAGGGAGAACAGCACTGTTCCAAAGCAACAGTGCTCTGTATGAAAAGTGTACATTCAGCTACAATGTACATAAGTGCGATATTGTTATTTACACGAGACATTTTAATAAGCATCATCAGTATTTCCTTTTCTTTTCCAACAGACAGCATGGATCTGTGGAGTTCAAAATCACATCCAAAGCTCAGGGGACTTCTGGAAGAAAATGAAAAAGAATTAGAAAGTATCTAATGTATAAGTCTTCAAAGCAAGAAGATCAATTTATGTTCTTTTTTTACTTACTGAAACATATTCTGCATATTTTATTGTTTCTCTCCTCTTGTTATAATCCATCCAAAGAATTTTCAAAGAACATTAAGTCCTACGAAAAAACAAATTGAATGGTAAGGAAGGTGTGAAAAATGCAACAGTTATTATCAAAAGCAGTGCTTGTAGGCTTTTGTTACAAAAGTAATTACTCAGTCATTTTCTATTACTCTGCCACTGAGCAACAAGAGGTTTGCAGGAGGTAATCTGAAAACCTCAAGTGTCAAGAGAACTACATTTCTAACATAATAAACTAAAGTGTGTATATTGGGGATGTCTTAAAGCAAACGATTCCCACTGTATAATCTAAACAGTTTCATTTTCTTCTATATTCCCTGATCTAAGTAGTCCAGATGATTTTAGTACCATTGTACATTAATATTAATGTGTTAAATGAGAGCAAAAGACAGACATACATGTTGAGAAAACAAATTTAAACATGGCAGAAAAATATCAATTCACAATTTTTAAAATTGTGCATCCCAGCTCCACTACTCTGAAGTATTCTCCCTTTCCTATAGAATTATGATCCCAGATACAGCAGTAAATTTAAAGAGAGCTGAGTCCCAGAACTGGAGACCTGCACTGACTTATTTTAAATTATCACTCGTGAAAGCTTAACTATTGAGTTTTGCTTCATACACCCATTCAGCCACAACAGGTAAAATGCCAGGGATTGTGATAGATCTGCTGTAATAAGCTGCATGTAAAATACTATTTAAATAGACAGCCAAAATAATAACATTATTAGGAACTTAGAGGTGCCAAACAAAGAAAATAAAGCAGCTATGAAAATTGTAAGTTTTTCATCTGACTTATCTTTTAGGTACTGGGTTTGACTTTCTCTGCAGAATCACAATTGTCAAGAGGACTTTGATCTCAGTGTGCTCAGTTCTGTATGGGCTTACTCTTAATTTTGCATACTTACAATAAGGAAGCAAGCACCAATCATTACTGCCTTGATTCTCACATCAAGATCTACTGGGACCTGGATCCCAAAGTTGGCAGTGTTGGTAAATACATTGTTTACAAATCCAGACCAGTACTTGGAAATTTTGCCAATTGTTGTCATTTCATTGAGAGCTTTTACCTGCAGAAACGGGGAAAAAAAGGAATAAGCCCAATGTAAATAAATCAAGTATACACTGATTATAGTATCTCACCACAATTAACTATTCAACCTGGCATGCAGAATATGCTATAGTGGTCAGGATAGTTCTTTATTCTTAGTTCTTATATGCTATATAATGGTGCATTTACCAATAGAATGTTGCACAAGAAAGGTTCTACAAATTTTGAAGTGTCCTTTTCTTTTAGAATTGACTTTAAAAGTAGGGGAAAGCCATTGTGAAAGTTTATGATATTTTTCCTAAATTATTTTTTTCTTTTGATTGTTCTTCAGACATGCTCCGAGTCACTCTGGTACCTTTTCTGTGGCTCACAATTCCTCCTGACTGATGTAGCAGTCTCCATGCTTTTGATGGTATGCTGAAGCCTGGGACAGCATCCACGGAAGCGCCTTGATCTGCTTAAGGAGGAGCTTAGCACAGAAGCTCTTTTGTGATTAGCTTAGACAAAACGCTTTGTTCATGTGAGAAAATCCGACCCATAATTTCTTCTAACTTCTCAATTTTCCCTGTTGTCTCCCAACTATCTCAATGGCTTCCCAGATTTACTATTCCCCCGAGGAATGATGTTAAATGGATGCAGACATGCTGGACAGTAATATCGTTCTTTGTCCTCAGTCCCAAGAGCAATGAGGGCAGCGAATTAAATGCCAGTCTTCAAAGGATTGTGAATTAGATACTAGCAGCTGCACATGGGTGAAAAACTGAGTCAACCAAAATCAACTCATGGACTGCAGGAGGACCAGGACTTCATCTAGGGATATGTTTTCTTCTTGGAGGTAATCTTCATTCCTATTCGGAAAATATCTGTAGGCATCCAAGTCTAGAAGCCAGGGACTGATGTACACCATTGTCATTCCATTCCCAAATCATAATTGTATTAGTTTACATAGTATTTTCAATGACAGGGTGAGTGTGACATTTATTCAGAGCAGCAAAACTTTAAAAATTGTAACACTTATAAGAAACATACCTCAAAGTCAACATCTTCAAAACAGCCACAAGTTGCATATGGGCCAATTATTTTTAATACATCTTCTTTGCTTTCATTCTGTATAGTAAATTTAGGCAAAAAGGGGTCCCAGTTCTGAACAACATATCCAGCTATTGTGCCTGGTGGGGACTGAACTTCTAACTATCAAACAAAATAAAACCAAATCTTAAAATCCAATTATATATATGATATATGAAAGTCCATAGTTTTATATAATTGCAAAGTATCTCTACTGAGTATAATTACATACAATTTTACTGAACCATGAAATGGTATTAAAAAGCCTCTATAATGGTATTTTCAAATACACTAAACAATCATAAGCTCAAAAACTGTACCAGAAGTTAACTTCTTACATATGATGTAAGACTTGAGAAAAAGCCATAAACTGAAATTTTGAAATTGTAATCAGAAAATATCTTACAGAATTTTTATACAGTTCTTTGGCTATTCAAGAATCTTTCTTCTAAAAAAACTTAACGTAATACTGAGAAAGTAGGGAGATGACTATAATACACCTCCCTAAAATAAGAAAAATGAGTGAAGGAGGGTCAAAAAATAAGGAGAAATTTTCTAAAGGATCCATGTTTTTCACAAAAGCAGTGTGATTGAGTTCCGCAATTTCCTACAGCCATACAGCCTTACAGAGGAGCACACTGATGACTGATGCAGTGGTTACTTCTTGGTAACATCCACACGTATTAATGGTCTCCATTAATTTTCCATTTGTCACATCCTTTGGCATTACAGTGTGCAGTTTGCATTTGCAGATGATAGTGCAAGTAGTGTTTTAGGGTGTTACTTAACTGTTCAGATGGAAACCCATCTCATCAGTTTGAGGCTTTGAGGATGGCAGGAGAGCAAAAGCCCGTGAAAGATGGAGGAGACACCCAAGGAACATCACTTATCCGTAACTGCTTCTAAATGAAGGCCTATTTGTAAGAGCATTTTTTGAGAAGAAATGAAAGAAAACAGCCTGGTAGTCAATACGCTATCTTGATTTTTCTTCTAATTGTAATATCCCTTTGCAAAGAAATCAGAACAACAACTACCCTTCACAGGGCTCACCAGCCTGGCAAACGGTCATGAAAATTCCTCCCTGACAGAGGTAATGTGAGGCTTCATTAACGCTGTGTGCATTACTGATGGACCAAAGGCAATTAGGATTTGCTCACCTCTTGCAGGAAGCATGGGAACCAGCAGCTGTTGCATCTCAAGGGTCTATTCACAGTAATCACTTCTCGGCCTGCGTTGTCAGCAATCCTTATGGTGAAAGATCTTATAGGTGAGCAGAAGTTACGATCAAAGCAAACATTTTCTTCCACTGCGAAGTAAACTCTTTGTCCTAAATGGTTTTTTATTTCATACTTGCTGCAGGTCTCTGTGCCAAGTAAAGCTATTAAAGTAAAATAAGTATTCTATTACCTTAGTAGAGTATTAGCCTTTACCAAGACCTATCAAATTAAGCTTTGGATACTAGTTTATAGCATCACCCTCTCTAACATGAACTGTAAAAATATCTATGGAATTAACTGTTTAAAAATATTTTGAAATGATGACATCAAAAGAAATACAATAATAATGACGTAATGACTCATATCTAATTTCAGATTTTTTTTTTTTTTTTTTTTTAAGGAAGGCTTAAGGAAGGCTTAGTTCAAAGACAGGTATAAGTTGAAACATAGGAAGTTCCATCTCCATATGAGAAAGATCTTATTTTTTGTGAGGGTGACAGAGCTCCGGAACAGGCTGTGGAGTCTCCTTCTCTGTAGATCTTCCAAACCCACCTGGATGTCACCCTGTGCCACGTGCTCTAGGTGACCCTGCGTGTGCAGTGGGGTTGAACTAGATGATCTCTAGAAGTTCCTTCCAACCTCAACCATTCTGTGATATCCCAAGTTTTGGTCTGTACTTTTTATTTTTACATACACTATGAAAAGTAATGACATGAAGCTATTCTACTTCAGTGACAAAACTTTGTCTCAGAGGGGAGACCAAAAATCAGGCCTAAAACATTCTGAATGAGTGTTTTTTTTGTTTTTTTTTTTGTTGTTGGTGGTGGTGGGGTTTTTTTCAGAAATTTTGAGGAAGCACAAAAGTACAATTCACTGTGCTCTATATCTTATGACATTCAATTCTTTACTGTTAAGAATTCTTTATTCAATTCTTTATTGTTAAGAACAATAACCATCTTCCCAATTTATGCAAAAAGTTAAGTTTGAATATCTTTGAGGGGGAGCTGGTTACAGGAAAGGTTTTAGGGTGGGAGTAGCTGCTTACCACAGCCTCTCCCGCCTTGCTGATACACTGCAGAACAGGCATAAACTAAATGAACTTTCCCCATTCCAGCAACACGCCTGATGCAAGTGAGTAAGTGCAGTTGCAATGACTTCAGTGAGCCAAAGGCAAGACTTAAAATTGCTGGATTTATCACCGAGTCAGCATAGCTAAAGAGCAATGAGAATCACACTGTACCTTCAAGAAGCTCCACTTGCTGATGAATAATAATCCGGTCCAGCTGTTCAATAAAAAAAAGTAAAAAAAAAAAATCAAGATGATGGATATTGAAACTATCTGGGGCCATCAGAGTTATCACCTGACCCTATATTGCTCCTCTCACTTGCAATAGGATTTCTTTCTTTACAGAAGTGCATGAACTGGGTGGTCTGGAGAGATCTGAGGTCACAATTTGGACATCTCCCCAAAATGATGGCTGAAGCATGTGACCTTAGGTGCTGTGGTCATGTAACTTACTTCTGCACATGAGGAAAATGATCTTCACTAGGGGAATTAGGAGGCCAACCACAATGGAAGAAACGTATGAGAAGGACAACTTTTTCTTTCCCCCTCCTCCCTACATGCTTTGACAAAGGCTGAGCACAGTTCCTACCTGCCATACCTCCAAGCTAAGGGTAAGTATTGAGCATTAAGACAGTGCAAGAACAATGCAAGTTTGGGCTGAAGCTCAAAATCTATCCCAGCCACCTCTCCAAAGTGCAGAAGCAGACAAGGGTCAGGTTATAGACCAGGAGGCTACACAGCCACAAGATAAACACTTCTGATGTAAAGCTCTGATTCCCATTCCCAGGATTCTGCACTAAACCCGCAAGCCAGAAAATCAGTAGTCACTACGGGGCACCAAAATGAGCCAAACAACAGTTCCCTAGAGAACCCCACAGCTTACTGAAACCATCCCTGTTTGTGAGGTGATTACAAATTTCGGGCAAAAACGGTTGGCCATGATAACCAGTTTCTCTGCAATTATTGTCTTGCAAACATTATTCTGTTCTAGAAAGCAGTTATTAATATTATAAAAGCATAGGGACTTAATTCCAATCTAACTTTCAGTGTTATGTGACTTTGTGTGGTTTATGTGCCAATTTAGGGCCTGCTAATTTCTTTTCCTTAAATTCCTGATGGGCATCAAACATTTGGCACAGGATTTTGCCATTAGTCACAGCTGAAAACAGAAAACACACAATGACCTTCTGAGAGTGGCCTGCCACAACTCAACAGTACTCATGCATTTTACAATTGATAACTCTTGCCTAGTACATAGTCAAACCATTGCAGCCATTTGTCCTCCCCGGCAGCTAGTCCAGGCTGCAAAGAAAAGCTGGTAGAAGGAACTTCCTTAGCCTTTTCATTTTTGCTTGAAAAGTGCATGCAAGCAGTGTAAAGGGGAAGAAAAAAAAAATGTTGAAAATGTTCTCCCAAGAATCTCTACTATTTGTTGTTTGAATTTCAAAAGGGTCAAAAATTCTTGGAGCTCATGGGAAGCTAGTATAGAACTCTGAAAACAAAAACATCTCAATGGCAGAGTAAGCAGGTTAAAGCTGCTACAGCTACTTTAATATTGATTTGCCCAATGTAGATTTTCCCCCATAAGAGAGAAAATAGAAATGAGCATGTGCTGTCAAAAGCTTAGAGTGATTTTTGGTCTATTAGTTTATTGTGTGCTATGCACACAATGACAAGTTTAGACAGTCTGCCAAGTGTGGTACCACTTCTTAGGCTTGCCTGCTTGTTCACTGGAGTCTGTGATGAAGGCTATTCTGATGCAGCTTTGTCTAGGGCAACTGGGGATTAAGGGAATTTCTCAGTCACATTTCAAAGCACCCTAAAATCCTATGATTTAGAAGATTTGGTGAGTCCCCTTGACCTCAGCTGTGTGTTAAAATTCCTTATAGGCAGCTAACTGTTCATTTTTGTAGACATTACATCTGCTCAATCTAACAGCCTAAACTAAGAAGTTTCTGGTAGAACTGTGTAAGCCTAGATGGCAGCAAACACACTGATGGACTACTTGGAAGATACTTCCCTGAGGTCTCTCAGCAAGTTCCTTTGAGTTTCATGACAGACACTGTACAGTTACTAGAACTGCAATGTGGAAGATGATGATTTAGGGAAAATCTGTCTTGCAGAAAATTGTTTAAAAAGCAGCCCTTTTGCAATGATTATAGAAAGCAAGGTATCAGTTTACCAGGGTAGGAACAGTTTATCACTAATCTCTGATGCACCTCAGACAGAGCGAATTGCTCCTCAGCCTCTTCCAATGGCTGCAGGTATGAAATAATGCTGTCTGGCCTTAGAGTGCAGGGCAGAGATATTTTCCTTACCTGTCATCCAGTACTATATGATGCGTCCTTGAGTTCCTGTTTAGGATAAGGCCATAGGGATCTCAGAGTTTCACTAAGTTCCTGCTTTCAGAGGCAAACAGGGTTTTAATTAAGAAATGTATTCCACTTTCCCTAATAAATCTATCCAGTTATCTTTATCACTCTTGCAGGAGGTAATCCTGGAACTTCATTTCTATTTGTCACCCTATATATATTCACAGCCACTATCTACCTATTCTTTGTTCTCTTAAGATCATTTTATGAATTAAATGTTTTTCTTCCCCCACTTTGGGTTTTTTACTCTGCTGGGGTGAGAGCCATCACAGTTCCCGCTCTGATATTGTTTTGCTAGCATAAGGACGAAACGTTCACATTCTTGTTTCAAAGCAGGATCTCCGTTCTCCAAGACATTCCCATAGCACTTCTCCATGGCTGTTTCAGTACAAACCCCTCTTTCCCAAACTTGCATGAGAGCAGAAGGATGTGTGGTATTCTGATTTTCCCTGTGGCAAAACAACATTCCTAATTCTGCTAGAAAGATCTTGCATTTTTTGAATTTCTTCATTACTTGAAAATCTCTTACCACATTAGGGTAAAGGCAAAGTTTTCATCCCTGTAGCGATGGACTCTGTGTTCATTCTGCAGGCAGATCTCTCGCTTTCAGACAGATCTCTGCTCTGATACAATTTAGTCTGTATTACTTGTATTTATCCACCCAGCAAGTAATTCTAGTACTACACACTGAAACATTCTGCAATGCACAGGAACTCTAGCTGTGCGTATACGTAAAATGCCAAGGGGAAGGGAAGCCTCTAAATATATCTAAATACCAGAAAGTGGAAAGCAGCACTACGTTGGACAAATAATAGCAAAGTAGAAAAGCAGAAAACAAAGAGATGAGGCTTCCTTAGCACTCCTCAATTGCTTTCACGCATTCAGATATATGAGTTTTGCCTGGGAGTATCATACGGGTTAAATGCTTCTGAACAAACAATGAAAATCCTTAATAGAAAACTTGCAATTAATTGTTCCCCGACAAACAAGGTTGTGCCAGAAGGCTAGGGTGACAACTGCAAATATGTTCTCTATGCTTTTCAGACTGCAGAGTAAACTGAGGCTAACGAGAGAGCATGGTTGGGGGAGACCATGAGGATTATAGCAGCACAGACAGTGTAACTATCATGTTAAGAATAAGCAGGAATTTAGTTCTAGTTGTGTTTCTCAATGATTTGCTCCTTTGCCTTTATGCCACATGTAAAGCTTCTATAAAACAGAATAATAGAATTTGCTTGCCCACACTGTATGGATAAATTTGAGGTGTAATTCATGTCTGTATAGGAGACTGAATATGTAACCTGGCAGTATTCACTACTGAAATCACTTTTAGACTGAAAAATGTAGCTCCCACAGTCCGTGAACAAATGCTCAGATAATTGATAACACATATCATTTTGGGCACAGGCACAATGTAATGAACATCCATCCTAACTCTACACGGAAGACAGTTTCTGAATAGTCTCCCAGTTCCACTAGCTAAGTATCTTCAGTTGCAAATATATAATAGATCCAATTCCTGTTTCTGTTAAAAAAATAAAAACTGCTGAAGTCTATATGTAAAATACAAACGTTAACCGAAATAAACATCTACTCTCCATCACACGCAAACACAGAAACCTGACACATCAGAATGACAACCACCTGACTGCACTGCAGTTCTGCCTCTTGCTTAAACCTGAGTGTAGGAAGTTATTACTGAGTGTATGAAGAGTGAGGTAACAGTCATATGGGAAATACAACCAAGAGTTGCTATCTAAGTAGCAGCGGTATCCTCTTCAAGGTAAAAAAAAGAAAAAAAAATTGGGGAGATAGGAAGCTGTTGTGGAATAGAAGAGCTGCAGCTGTTGGAGCTGCAGTCTATGGCCAAGGCAGACTTGCAATCTGTGCTCTAGGAGCTCCGATGGACAGCTGCGTATTCAGTAAAAGAGTTGAGAAGACTTTTTTATTGCCTTTTCCTCCTCTGTGTGTGAGTTTGCCCCCAAGGACCTCTCTAACCTAGGGAGTATTCACATTGCAGTTAAAAGGAATTTGCCCAAAAGACCTTCACGTGCCTCAGTGTGGGTTATTAGGAGATGATACCTTCAGCAGACTGTTTTAATCTTTTTGAGATCAATGACAGTTTAATAATGATTTCCCTGAGAAATAGCTTGTGAGGAACCAGGTTGATGATGAGTGGGGTACTAGTATGATCTCAAACAAGATCTTTCTGAGCATGCGGAGCTGTATGCACAGCAAACAGATTCCTATAAAGCAGCAATGAAGTAGGGATTAGTCTGCTCTATGTTCCTTATTTCAGAGTAGTATAAAATGCTTAAAACTACTCTCTCCATCCCCACCTATACCATCTGAAGAAAAATAATCCAAGTAACTCCCAGCCCCAAACTGCCAAAGAAATCTGAAAATAGACAAAACAATTCTAACATTTAGAAAGGTTCAGGACCTGTCTCAGGTACTCCAGACCAGGTGGCAAGTTATAAGAGTGCGATGTTTGCTTCCAAGCACTTGTTGATTCAACACACTGGTTCTGTTCAGGTAGATCAGCAGAACCAGGGAGATAATCCTTAAAGATTGGGTTTATTTGTCCTTGAGGTTCTATGGAAAGAGGAAAACAAAATAGAAATGAAGAGAGGCAAACAGCAGCTAAATGTTTACATCAAAACTGAAGAAACAGTGTCACATTCTAGGTGCAACTATTAGCAATTTATTTCAGATCAGGAGTGAGGCTCTGAAGCAGATCTTCCAGGAGTCCCATAGTTACTTTTGCTTGCTTTGTCAACAATCTGAGCGTTCAAACTGTGTTCCTATTCCATGAAGCTAAATAAGGCAGACATGGCCTTGAATTGCACGTAACAGCTAGTGAGCATTTGGTCAGTGCGACAGGACTAGAGCTAGACTGAGGTCAGTACTGTTTGTTAGAGGCACTTGTGCGCCTACATTGGTTCACATGCTTAACCATTTGATTCTCAACAAACTCGTACTGATTTTAACATCTTTCTACTACATTCAATGCACTAGCTGTAAAGGAACAAGAAAAAGCAAGTTGAAGCTCTCTGCAGATGTAATAAGTCCTGCTATTAAACTGAGCCCCTGTGCTCAGACAGCAAAGGGTTCCCGAAACAGATTATTTATCTATTTATTGTCTCTTCTGTGACAATACTTAGGCATGATGGGGCTGAATGTTCAGAAGGAATTTTGGCAGTAAGCCTGAAGTTCTCTTGCTGTTGTGGTGGGTATAAATGAGATCCCCTAGCATTATATGAACTCGCTGTGGCTGATTCATCGTTTAATCATATTTTGATCTTAATTTTTCTTTGCAGCCACTGATTTCTTTCAAAGTCTGAGACCACAGGAAGAAGTAACACCTTTGAATTTGTATCTGGCTTTTAAAAATGTATAACTGGGTAATAAATATTTTATATGCTCTTCTGCATCATTTTACTTCACAGGGTTCTGTTACTGCCATAACTCTTGTTGTAACATGAAGTGCCATAAGTTCCATTGGCCAAATTCTAGTGTTACTCTTTTATAATGATAAAGAGAAAAGACAACAAATTGCAGTTCTACCTGTCAAATTTAAGCTATACCAAAATCAAACAACAAATACATTAAATATTGCTGAAAATCTGAGCTACACAGAGGCTTTATTTTTAATTGTGAATGCTTCCTGTTTCATTTACAACACAGAAACATTTAAAAGTTACTGTATGATACAGTGAGCACTATCTAATTGTAAAGTTACTAGTTCCTGACAGAAGAATTCTAGCCTAGGTTCCTTCATTATAAAAATTATGTTACACAAGATTTAGTTACTGCTGCTAACTACTACACATTAAGAATATACATAACCAGATCTCCTTTACAGTGGCTGCAAAGGTGTGCAAAATCTCCCTCCCAAGAGAAAAATGCATACTCCAAGGGCGCATCAGTGCTCTAACATCTACTTACTTCTGTGTAACTTTCTGTGCTGCAAAGACGGAATGTCATAAGTTCGGCAGGGAAAAGAGGCACAAAACATTTGGCAAATGTAAATAAGACACTGCCGAAACTCCCTGGGCCACCATTTGAAGCGCTATGAGTCTGTGGAGTTGCATTCATGTTAAGGCAAGACAGGCTTAGGGTTTTCTTCCTCATTTTAGTATTTGATAGTATGAAAAAAAAAAAAAGAGAGAGTTTAGGAAACATACTATGATGTTTACTTTTAGTCCTAACAACCCAGCTGGCTGCACCTAAAGAGAATACATGACTGGAATGAATCCAAAATGGACTAATCTGATTCAATTCCATAATTCTTCAGAGATTACTATTTATTTGATATATATCAGTACTCTGATCAGTGTTGAAAGTGAAAAGCATTTGCTCATATGGAATTCTCCAAGGAGGTATGAACACTGTGCAAAACTGATGATAACCTTGGATCAGTATCTGCCCTCCCCATACATTCTATGCTGACAAATTTAAAAACAAGAATACAAACAGATTTTCTGATTCAACACAGATGCTAACACTTTGTAATGTATTTTGTTCACACAATATTTGAATATTTGAATATCATCTCTAACCTTGCAAGATGTACTATTCATAGAATCATAGAATGCTTATTCTATTAGAGATTTTAGTCTCCTTAGGAGCCTCTTGAAGGATGGAAAAATAAAGATGCCAAAACAACTGTGTTTTAGCTGCTGTGGTTATAGCCTGAAACTCTCATTTCAACAGACCGCTGATTGCTGGATATATACAAGACTAGTTGTCCATAAACATGGTCTAAAAACACAGACTATAGATGCACTTACCTTGAGAGGCCATGAAGCTTCCTGAGTTACTTCTTCAAAGGAAGACAGGTTTAAAAAAAAAAAAGAAAAAGAAAAAAAAAAGATTTTTCTTGCTGCAGCAAAGAAAAGAGAGCACAGCATGCACAAAACTTCAGAAGGTGTCTGTCTACTTCATATCAGTTTACAAAAGACCTGGAGGAAATGTATTGCCTTTCTCATGTTACAGAACACTGCATTTTATGTCAATGGACAACAGGGGGAGATGATGCTAGCAAACAAGAAAAACATTTTGCATTTCAAGTCATTTGCACCAATTGAACAAGGAAATGTGTTTTGTGAATACGAAGAGGCAAAACCTCAATGTACCCACTAGTTAATTGAATACACTAGATCTAAAAATCTGCCTTATAATGTATGTATGTATTCTGAGACTATACAAATTCAGTCTTTCTAATTCAATATTTATGTTTCCATTTCTTCAGGCTACCCACTAAAGAAACAGGAACTAATTACCTGTATTTCTCTACTGCTGGCCCACAGTCAACATTCCCACTACTCAGTGCAGGAAAAAGCTACTTTGGATTTCTCATTATATTCCATTTGTTTAGCATCAGCCTCCCCTATAAGGGAGAAGGCTTCTTCAATGATGAGACCTAAATAGGACCCTGCAGAGAGCCCCCACTACCTTGCACCATGCAGGGCTCTGCTGATCTGAGAGATGCTTAAAATGAATTTGGAGAATTAACTGAGTGTCAAACATTTTGCCTCAGACAAGCACAGTCCAGATCAAAAGAGAATCCCTGAAATCACCCACATTGTACTCAGAGATAAGGAGGAGGAGAAAGAGTAACCTTGACTTACCCGCTCATCTTTCTACCTTAAGTGCCCAAGTCGCCATGGAGATCAGGCACATGTGATCTGCCAGCAGATATGATTCACCACTGCGAGGATGGCAGAGCCTTTGCACAGAGCCAGGAGGATCTGAGGAGGGTATTGGGGACCATATTCTGCTCTCTCTGCTAATGCAAGTCTTAATAGCTTGAAACAGTCCGTGGGAGGTCCAAGCAGATTTAATTCCAGGGCTTACAGGTCAGGAACAGTACTGATGAGCATCTTTGAAGAAAGAACATAAACCAAAAACTCTGACTAATGCAAATACAGAGGCTGTTTTTAACTAAGCGCAAAGATATGTGTAAAAATTCAGCTATGTAAAGCTTCCTAGGAGTATACAGTTGCTCATTTGAGAACTCATGTGGTGTGGTGGCAGGGCAACCTTATCCAGGCTAGCATCCAGGGATCCTGCTGTGCTCATGCTTGGAAACATGACTTGAAGGGAAAAGGCAGACTACAGACACAAAAGTATTTGGTAGCTGAAAAATGTCCCACTAGATAAAACCTTCTGGGCTGGCAAGAAGTTTGACATCACTAGAAATAAAGATTAAGGCTAACTAAAATGTTTTGCTTCCTTTTTCTTTGTTAAAGATGTGCTTATCTGCAACAGATCCTAACCTAGAAAGCAGATACAAAACAAGTTACAGATACAGATACAAAACAATACAAAAAAAAAAAAAAAAGGCAAAGCTCCTGATAAATACAGTAAGCCGGAAAGCCTAGCTTTGGAAATAATAGATGTGAAAAATTCAAAAAGCAACTGAGATGAGAGCACCCGCCTACCTAAAAAAAGTTCCATTACCATCTAGAAAAACAAAAAGTCAAATAATTCTGTTGATGCATAAAGCAAGCGTGGTAGCAAGGAAATAAGGTGCTGAGAATAGATAAAATGCACACTAAGATCTTATGCTCAAAAATGTCTCATATATCAAAAAAAAAAAAAAAAAAGGAGAGAAAAGGCCAAATACCTCACTGTCCCCAAGAGGGACACATGGGAGCTAAGATAGAGCATATCTGTACTGCACTGCACCACTGTACTGCACCATACTCAGGATCTGACACGTTAGTTTTGTGCATGTAAGCGATGCTACTGTCTAGCAGCTAACCCATAAACAGAGCCAGCCCCCAGGACCAGCTAAAACAATTTTTCAGCTCAAGAGAGAGGTCTGTGCTCCTGTTCCATATACAGTTTCTATAGGAGCTAGACAGATACAGACTGCCTGCAAAAATAGACAGAGACTGGCCCTGTTTCCTCCCACGAGAAAGCAACAAGAAATAGGAGCTATTGGGCGTCTTTTCCTTGAAGCCCATTCACAGCCTGAACATTTCAACTCTTTCACACAAGCTGTTTCACCCAGGAGACTGATTTCTTGGTTTTAGGCAAAGCAGCTTGCTAGACAACTGTCTCAGGCTTGTTTATTAATTACATGAATTACTTAAAGGGTTGTTGTCTGAAATTTTCAAAAGGGTATTTAGAAAACTTTTGAAGTTCACCAGGAGATGAAAATATTTTTGTATGTATGTCTTGAGAGCATGATTTTACAAACCAAACTAAACAAGTTCAAGCTATAACGGCTTCATGGCCTTTTCTGAGTATTACACCCACTCATAGACAAGTGAACACTAACCTGTTTTTACGTACACATATGCCAGCATTTTAGCACGTTCATATCCCTTGATACAATAATATGCTATTTATCAGAGAATGATTGCTTCCGTTCTATCAACGGCATTATTTCCACACTTCATCCCACATAAATAACAGATAAACTATCCGAGGCTTTCACTACACTAGACTAAGACACTCCACGGCAGCAGAGAAGCACACACGGGAAGAGCAGGAGGACAAGAAGAGGCACCGTCCTTTCCAATTTGTCTACCTGCATGGACAAGCAATTACACAGAAACTGCTTCTCCCCTCATTCTTGTGGGGAAGGAGAGCTCAGAGGAGCTAACAGCTCATCACACCTCCCGTTGCGGCAGTCCAAGCCATGCTGCACCAGCAGGTATGTTAAGGAGGGCATGCAGGCACCACTAAACACAGCTGAAACCTCACTGAGCAATACCTGAGCTTCCCTACTATTAAGAAGGTCAATGAAAGGTTACCTTCCTTAACATACCACATATTGCCAGCATTAATGCTTCACAGTGCTGTCTTTTTTTTCGGGGTAGGAAATTATACCATCTTCTTCCCTTTCCTAGGCTTCCCCCCTCAGCACAGGGACAAATGCAAACCAGAAATGCAAGAATCAGGCTGTGACTCTGTGCAATATGAAGCTCTGACTTCCAGATTTTTAGCCAGCATTGTTTTCTGAATTGGAAAAAAAAAGAAACAAAAAAAAATTCAACATAAAACAAGCAAAAAAAACAGTTTTTTAAATCTGCTACCATGCTATATGGATCTCACCTTGAACTTGGATTTCTGAGGCATCTTGCTTCAGCTTGTGCCTACAGTAACTCCTCCCCTCTGAACATGCCTGCAATCATGTTGAAATACTGCAACTGGCACTCGGCATCTGCAGCACTGGCCATCACTGCGCTGCACCAACACCACAACATTACACACTGCACTGTGCAGGACAGGTTTCTGTCACTCGTTTCTTTATAGTAGTTTTACCATTGTCATTCTGCAAAGTGACAGTTTTGCATGTATTAAAAAAATACAGCCTTTAAAGTAACAATTTTTCAGCAATCTGCTATTTATTTTGCATTTATCAGAATCAGAAAAATAGGCTCAGAAAAAGAACCTTAAAGAAAAACTAAGAAAGAAATTTTCTAAAATATTATACATCGAAATAGTACATGGCTATTGAATATGCATCAGAAATATTAATACTATCCTCAACAAGTATTGATATGAGATATTGAGCCCGTAGACAGATATCAGCAGATGCGGTTTCCAGGTCCCTTGCTCTCCCCGAGTGCAGTCCCTGTGCTCTATGACTGCAAAGTGCTGAGCAGGGAGGGCCGGGAGATTCCCTTAGAAAACACAAAACCAAAAAAATCCATACGCTACACAATACACAAATTAAATCACCAGTATAGCTAATGCATAGCTGATCACAGTATTTGCTGTCATCTCTGAATGGTGCTCAGTTAAGGTGCAATAAGTTTTTCCACCTTAAACATTTCTGTTCAAGATGACTGCCTGATGGTGCTTCTGCTGCTTGCATCTGTGGAAAAAATAACCTCAGGATTCCTGAGTTACTGCTGGAGGCAGCTGAAGTGACTGCTTACAAATTAACCTCTACTAACACGAGCTCAATGACCTAGAGGTGAACAGTTTTGTGCTCATTTACAGCACGCTGCATTTATTACATGAACCATCCGATAGTCCCCAAAGGGCTGAAGCTACTCTAAAACTGCCAGCTGATCTCTTCCTCATCTTCAGAAAGTAGCCGTTTCGCATTTTAATCCCAAATTCAAGCCATAGAAACAATTTGCTTACTTTTTGGGGAAGGGAAAAAAAAAAAAAAAAAAAAGGGTAAAACATCCATAAGATTTAATGGCAAAATGGTAACTCTATTAGGACATCAAAATTAATTTCAGTTTCCCTGAGGTATCTTATTTTAATTAAGAAATTCATGATCCTGCTCTATTAATTAGCATACTGAAAGAATAATAAGTTTTAGATGAGCTTAATTCTAATAAAGCTTTTCATCCTCTAAAAAATAATAAAAGGAATTAAGGATCTCAATCCAATTTGTTTTCTACATTTAGTAGTCATCTTTAGAAATTCTACCTAATGCTATAGTACAACTATTACTATTTTATTATTAAAGTTGAAAACATTTAGCTCTTGTGCTTAGCAGAGCTATTGAAGGGATAACTGGCCCACTTACCAAGCAAAGTAATTCTTGCAGGATAGCAGTTAATTTCATTTTTCACATTATTTCCTACTATTGACAATAACCATAGGGATAACAGTTTTAAACAGTCTTATCTGCAGCTGATTTTCCATTCAGTGGTAACTGAGTGGCTGCTATGCTCCAACCACACGTTCGTATGTGCATGCTAACCGATTAGTCTGATCAAAGCTGTTGCAGATCTGGAATTTCTTTCCCCCCACCCCCAAATTTGCTATACGTTCTTGATTCAATCTTGTATCTGGGTTGTAAAGATATAAAGATCCCCCCCACTACATGAAAAAAAATGAAAAAAGAAAAAAAAAAAAAGAGAGAATATTAGGA